CCACCCACAGATGAATCAGGAAGGATGTGGCTGGGAGATCCTTTATGAGATCTGGATCCCTACTCAACTCCAAACCAAAACACATGCAAAGGAGAAACCTGAGCCCTGAAGGATGAGATCAGTCCTTTCCACCTTAGAATGCAATTGGTTTCTTCCATAGTAGTCAACATTTAAGGGTATTTTTTTCCAAGGTTGTCTAACCTTAGTTTCAGGTCTCTCTGGAACAATCTGCCTCATTCTGGGGACTTCTAGACCCTCATTCATTGGAGCACTTTCAGGGCCACTGAATTCATGAACTCCCTGACACAGTACTAGAAATGCCCTCTGCTCCTAGCCTCAGCCCTGTCTTCCTAGATTATATTAGTTCATGGTCACTAGGGTGTCATGTATCACTATGCAGAGGACCTGGCCCATCTACCAACGGCCAGTTCCTCTATTTGCACATGAGCTTATATTCTCATTCTGTGCCTCTTAGTTTATATTCTCACCAAGAACCTTTCCAGGTCTCCTTTCAATTCAAATATCCTGGAATCCTCTCTCTCAAACCATTTCATTCTGAATTCACCTAAAACAACAAGGAAGACCRGGAGGAAATCATGTGATGCCATGCCAAGACTCGTTGGGAGGATTTAATTGAAGAGCATAAAATCTTAAATAGTACAAATAATCTCAACTAATTTCAGCCCAGGCCAGATGACAAGGCAAGTGAGCATGAATTAAAATTACAGATAAACACATTTGGAACAGATGTTGGGAAGAACTTTTCCCCCAACACTGGAAGACATTAACATGCAGCAAAACCCTCCAAAGTCATTGGCAACACTGAAGATACAATTAGAGCAGATTATGAGGGAAATAAAACCCTGAGGAGAGTGTCAAGAATTTGGGGATGAGTCAAATGATTGCTGTGTTTTCCTGGAGCGGGCATGTGAATACATGGTCAAGAATGTTGACATTTTTTTTTTTCTTCAGCCTTTAACAGAAAGCAACAGAAATTCATGAGTAATCTTTTTCTGCTGAGTTTACATTCAGGCCTTTATTATTTATTTCCAGGAAGGAGAATAGATGTCACTTCAGTGTGCACCCCTCCCACACCCACAATGGTCTCACACTTCAAGCCAGCAGGCTTCTGCTAGGARGATTACCTCAAGATAATGAAGAGGGTCAACAAATTTTGTGCTGTCAATAAAAACCATTCTGAGGCATCAGAGGAAGGCTGCAGCAGTGATTAGCACTGTTCTGGGTGACACTGCTGATAACTGAGACCTTGAGCCCCAAGGTGGCCTCCCCTGCTAGAGTCTATCATCTTTATTCCTTTTGCATATGTCTTGCCAAACTGTTGTATATCCTTTTCCTAAGGTCATTTTGGCTGCACCAATAACCCAATGGATTTAGTTATCTATTCAACTGCTAACCTTCATCTTTCTCTAATGAGAGGGGGAATGAGTTATTGCATTTGGCATGACTCAAGATTTGGAGAGGCAAGGTGTCTGAGCCCCTAATCTGTACACACCTTCTGTTGAGACACTGAGCACTGTTTACCACAAGGTCTTAAGTTTAATTTGCACAAAGAGAAAAACTCAGTGTAAAACTACAGTCTGCACATTTTATTTTTAGCATTCAATGGGAGGGAGGAATGCAGTAAAATATATAAGAAAATGTACATCACTAAGTCAAAAAAAATAATTACACAATTAAACTAATAAGTTATAACTTGGCGAAAGGAGTCGAAACTCAGTGAAATGGGCTTTAACATCATCTCATCTGCAAAACAGAGAAGACTATCATTGTTCAAAGTCATTGGCATGAAAATAACAAACAAATTCTACATGACAGGAAGATATTTTCRCCTCTACCCTTCTCCTACATTTAGAGAATCAATTTATAAAATTGTGTTATCCTGTTCTAAAGTTGGAAGTCCTTACAGATAACATATTGTCAACCAACTGAGATTGAGGATAAAAACCACTCTTAGGCAGTTTCCTCAAATGTCCAATCTGAGCTTCCCCAGGTGAGGTGGCTTATATGAGTCCTAATGAGAATGAACCATGGAAAATTTCAAATTCCACAAGCAGACATGAAAAAGATTTTCAACTTAGATTTCTAAGGAAGGATACTCTCAAGGGATAATTTCCCTTAGAGTAATGATCTGACACTCACAGTGAGACAGAGAGAGATGATAAATATGCTAATTGAAGGGCCTTTGGTGCAAGTATTGAAAGGTCACAGCCACTTTGGTTTCTGTAGTCAATAGCATCAGGGTGGCAGAAGCCTTACGGCTGTGTCACACCATAGTGCTCATCCCTGAAATACGCTTTTCATCTCATCAGACTTCCAACTAGAAGCTTCTTTGTTTTTCGGTGGACAGTATGCATCCACAAAGCAAATACTGTGGCCTTTCCAATTGCAGGACAAACATTACTTCACATAGAAGTTGGGTGTTTCTCATCTTTTCACCACTTTCTGTTTTGTTTGTGGTTGGGGGGGGGGGGGAAGAGGAAAGATAAGAAAAACTGAGTAATTTTCCTTAGAAGAGATGCCTGGGCTTTCCAAGTCTTGTTGAAATAGAAATTGTCCAGCCCACTTCCCTTCCTCTAAGAGTCCACTCAGAAAACACAAACATAGAGGTAAAGGGGCCGGGGCAACAAGAAGGGAAAAGTATTTCTCACAAAATTATGTAAAGATGCTCTTGGGAAATAAATTGGAATTAAGAGAAATGGAGTAAACTTCATACAGACCATAATACAAGCCAATAGGATTTTGAGCTCATCGCTCATCTGGATATTTTTTAATCGTTATTTAAACTGTATGTGTCTTTTGAAAAAGAGATACCCTACTGCCCAGATTGACATACCTTTCCTCTTCTCGCCACCTGATGCACACAGATCTGAGCATGTGGACAAGTGGGCAGGATGTTCTGGACTGTTCTCTGTTACGTGTCAACAGGAAAGGAGGAGTCAGTAATGGTAGGTGGTATTGAAAATGGCCTTAGTGGGGAAACATTGCTTCCTTCATGCCATTGTCTGAATTTTGAGATAGGAATAGTATAGAAGAAAGTGAAGACAACACATGGGCCCAAATGGCTTAGTTAATCCAACTTCCCAATGGAAGTCCCTCCCGGCCACATCTATTCTGAAGATATGTTCCTGTCAAAATGTAGACTTATCAGAGAGCACAAAGCAAACTCTCATACACAAATACCTCCAATCGAAACCATCTGTTTCCAAATGCAAGATGACCTAGTTGAAAAAGAGTCAGGAAGGAGAAAGTCCTCAATTTCACAGTGGCCCTGGCTAAGATCAAGTCCACGAAGTCTTGCTCRTGCCTCTCACTTTTCCCTAGCTGAGTCAGGTTTGGGAAAAGCCACCAGCTTGCTAGCAGTGGGAGCCCTGTATAAGCTTGCTTTTCAGTGAGATGTGACACCTCTCAGTATCTACTGGTAAAGAAAGGCATGCCTTCCAGAGAAACGCTAACAGAAGCAGTGGCACCTGCTCTATAGTAAATTGGGTCAGAGCAATGAAATCCATCCTGAATTTCTCTGGTCTAATCAATGACTCAGCTCTAATGAAACCATAAATCAGAAAGGATTTGCATGAACTGAGTCCCATTTGGCACCTCAACAAATCGCAAGTGATGGATTTTGCATTAAATTATAAGACCTACCTAACAACCTTATTGGTTACCAATAAATGCATCGCTCTGAAAATTCCACTCAAGTTTCAGGCGTTTCTAAGGCTTCCCAGCTGCCAATTTGCTTATAGTCATAAAAGTAGATAAATCAGGGCAGACACTTGAGAGCATGCTCAGCATGTCACTGATTCTAAGAGCCATTCTTGGCTATCATCATACAAAGATTTCCTAAGAATTTTTGCCAGGGCATAGTTCACTTGGGATTAGAGAGAGAAATCACAACCTAAGATGAAAACACATCATGGCAAAATATATATTTCAATATATCCAAAGATATTAGGGAGTAGTCAGCAAATTTGGGGCCACCACCCATTTTTGAAAATAAASTTTATTGGAACACAGCCACAACCATTCATTTGCCTTTGCTCCTGGCTGCTTTCATGCTATAGTAGCAGAGCTTAGTAGTTGTAATTCAGTTAAAATTTTGTGTCCCACATATATTTACTTTGAGAACCTTTAAAGAAAAATTTAGACAACCCCTGCACCAAAGAAAAGATGATAAAATATAAGACTACTTGAGCTAAACTGCTAGGTTACTGAGTCCTCCTTCCTGAACACTGGAAGCATCAAAGTTCAGCCAAAAAGAATCTAACTTGAGAGATAATTGAGAAAGTGAAAAATTTGGGGATAAGTATAGTTTCAAACTAACAGCTATGAGTCTAATGGGTTTTCTTTTTAAGATTTTGTATAACTGCTGAGGTTCTCCTAATGCATCAAATTCTGCCCCAGTGAACATTTCAGAGAGGAAGTGACACTTGAGCTGGAGTTCAAACAAATAGGAATACATGTGGGGATGAAGGGAATTCTAGGAAGAGGAAGCAAAAAAATGTTTGCCCAAGAATTAATTAGCAATCAAGTGTTAATTATTTGAAGCTTTTTTTCTAAAAGGAAATAAAAGTAAAGTTGCACCTAAACATATTCCATGAATAAGAATTCACCATAAGTCATTTTTCTCGATCCCACTCATGAGAAAAATGTCACAATGATGATAATGGTTATTATCACAGGAACTATCATTAGCATTATTATACAAGCTATCGTTTATCGAACGTTTATCACATGCTGAGTATTATGCTGGATGTTTATGCATTATCCCATTTAATCTTCACAGCAGTCTTATGAGGTAGGTACTATTATTATCCTCATTTTGCAATTGAAGAGACTATGACTGAGAAAGGTAAATAGGATGTGCAAGTTTCTAAGCAGCAGAGCAGAGGTTAGGATCCATATTACCAATGCACTATTCACTGAACCCGCACGCAGCCACCCCAGCCCCACCTAAGCACAGCCCCCTCACCAAGCCCTCTTACCTCTACAGACACTGCAGCACTGATTCTCTGGAAGAATGTGATCCTTTTCTGAACAGTTCAAAGGAGGGCACATTTCTGTAATTTTTACTAAAACTCCACCCTAGAAGCCAAATAACAAAAAAACAAAAAAGATGTTCATAAGTTTAGCCAATGATACAAAGTATAATGCTCATTGTTAATAGCCTGCAGTGATAGCAACCTACAATAACTAATACCACTCCYAGGAACTTCATTAATTATGATAACATTGCAAATTACATTGATGAGACTCTTAGAAGAGAAGGCACATTTCCTTTTCAGTATGAAAAAAAAAATCAATCTAATGTTTTTGAGTATCTACTTTAAAACAGAAGGATGTTGGGCTGGGGATGTGGCTCAAGCGGTAGAGCGCTCGCCTGGCATGCGTGCGACCTGGGTTCGATCCTCAGCACCACATACCAACAAAGATGTTGTGTCCGCCAAAAACTAAAAACTAAAAAATAGGGAGGAGGAAGACGCCCGGCGCCAAGCCAGACCAGAGGAGGAAGTCTAGCCCCACCCCGTGTGCTGGTCCGGAGGAAGCCCATCAACCCTTAAAACCCATCAAAGGGGGTGTGGCTTCCAGCACCGTTGTGCGGCTGATCCAGGTACCCGGTTTCCAACTCCCCCACCCTTAGCTGCGATAACTCAAAATATTTCCCACAAGCTTTTGGGGGTTGTAGCTATCAACGCAAAACAACAACTGTACAGGCACCTGGTTTCTACCTCAGAGACTAGAGTAGGGAAGATACAGGTGGAAGCTCATTTCCTTTCACACTGGCTATACCCACCACCCTGAATACAG